AAAAAATCAGGTTGAATAAAATTTCTGCAGCATTTAATTTAAAGTGTATATTATATATCAATTGATAATGCTTAATCAAATAGTAGCATTTAAATAAATTCGTTGATAATTAATATTTATATAAATATTGATGCATATCTAATTATCAAATTCTACCAATTTTAAATATATATCAAGTAATAACAGATTTATTGATATATGTCATTAAATTACAAATGATATTTATTGATAAAGTATTATATATCGATTAATATCTTATAAAAAAGTTTTCTGATGTAGTGAGTGAATTTTTGGAATTTGTTGGATTTTAGAAAATTTTAATGGGTATACAAAAGTGAAATTTCTGGGGCAAGCCAATAGGATTTCAGAAAATTGTCAATGAATTTTTAGAACTAAAAGTACATTTTTTTAGCAAAGGAGTTTAGAGTTTTCGTGATATAAAATCATCAGTTTGGTCTATTTGTAGTATATTATATATCAAAATATTTATTTTGATAAGTAAAACAAATTTGTCTTAAGTAAGAACTAAGATTTACTTAGTATAATTTAAAGTAAATAGCAAGAGAAGAGATAAAAAGTTTTTATTATAGTTTGATAAGTTTGAGTTCATTTGTAATATATTATATATCAGAATGTTTGTATGGAAAAGCTGAATAAGTTTTTGTTAAGGAGTATAAGCAGTTGACTTAATTGGTGATTCGCCACTCAACCAGAGAGAGCTCATAGTGTAATATGATATGGTTTATATATAGAAATTAGGTTTTTGGAATATGAGCTGCTTCTATCTAAAACTTTTTTTGTACTAAATTAATTACCTTTGGGCCTATAATTGAAGTTGTAAAGCTTATTGGGATGAATCTAATAGTAGTTAAATTATCAAAATCAGCCTTGTAAATCACAATATATCTTTAAAAACATTTCACTGACTATACAAACTTCTCTTTCAACAATACTATTGTTGAAAAAGAAGTTTACATAGTCAGCAAAATGTTTTTAAAGATATATTGTGATTTACAAAGCTGATTTTGATGATTCAACCACCATTAGATTCGTTTTGATAAGTTCTACAACTTCAATTAGAGGCCCAAAAGTGATTAACTTATTATAAAAAAAGTTTTAGATAGAAGCAGCTCACATTCCAAAAACTTTAATTTTTATATATAAACTGTATCACATTATACTATGAGCTCTCTCTAGTTGAGTGGTGAATCACCAATTAATGTAATTTTAAGAAAACTTTAAGTTTGTAAATTTTGTTGTTTTTAAAAGATTTTTATAATTAATTTAATGAGTTTGCAAGTTAATATTTTAAAACCTTTATGATATATGTAAAATAAATAGCAGAGGACTGAAGTAAGTTTGCTTAATAGTTCAAGAAGTTATAGTTATTTTTGTTTTGAGATTTTTTAGAGTTTGTTTTGTATAAGTGATTTACGGAAAGAGTTGTAATACTATTATCTATTGATAATAAATTAGTAATATATATTGTATATAGAAAAAAAATAAAGAATTGCTTTATTTAATTTTAATTAATTAAGTTAACTATATTATATTAAAAATATAAATATTTTATTAATTATAATTACTAAATTCTTATATAATATAAAATAGTTAAATTTCAGAATTATTTAGTATTATACATATAGCAAAAGCAGAGAATGCTTTTGTATTAGTTTTGATAGATTATCAGATTTAAGATACCAATAGCTTGCTAGTCATGTGATTATAAATAAATATAATTGGCTAAATTATATTTATTATATATCTACTTGGTTATATAAAGCTTAATCTAAGCCAATCAAATTAATTTATATTATTTGACAAATCTGATATCTTATAGATATCTAGTTATTTGGGTATCAGTTATCAGAAATAGCAGGTTATCAGGTTTGAATTATGGAATAGACATAGTGAACCAATTTTTTATCAGATATAACAGGTTATTAATTTTAATAGGATTAGTTTTGGGAGTATAGACTATATGTATAATACTAAATAATTCTGAAATTTAACTATTTTATATTATATAAGAATTTAGTAATTATAATTAATAAAATATTTATATTTTTAATATAATATAGTTAACTTAATTAATTAAAATTAAATAAAGCAATTCTTTATTTTTTTTCTATATACAATATATATTACTAATTTATTATCAATAGATAATAGTATTACAACTCTTTCCGTAAATCACTTATACAAAACAAACTCTAAAAAATCTCAAAACAAAAATAACTATAACTTCTTGAACTATTAAGCAAACTTACTTCAGTCCTCTGCTATTTATTTTACATATATCATAAAGGTTTTAAAATATTAACTTGCAAACTCATTAAATTAATTATAAAAATCTTTTAAAAACAACAAAATTTACAAACTTAAAGTTTTCTTAAAATTACATTAATTGGTGATTCACCACTCAACTAGAGAGAGCTCATAGTATAATGTGATACAGTTTATATATAAAAATTAAAGTTTTTGGAATGTGAGCTGCTTCTATCTAAAACTTTTTTTATAATAAGTTAATCACTTTTGGGCCTCTAATTGAAGTTGTAGAACTTATCAAAACGAATCTAATGGTGGTTGAATCATCAAAATCAGCTTTGTAAATCACAATATATCTTTAAAAACATTTTGCTGACTATGTAAACTTCTTTTTCAACAATAGTATTGTTGAAAGAGAAGTTTGTATAGTCAGTGAAATGTTTTTAAAGATATATTGTGATTTACAAGGCTGATTTTGATAATTTAACTACTATTAGATTCATCCCAATAAGCTTTACAACTTCAATTATAGGCCCAAAGGTAATTAATTTAGTACAAAAAAAGTTTTAGATAGAAGCAGCTCATATTCCAAAAACCTAATTTCTATATATAAACCATATCATATTACACTATGAGCTCTCTCTGGTTGAGTGGCGAATCACCAATTAAGTCAACTGCTTATACTCCTTAACAAAAACTTATTCAGCTTTTCCATACAAACATTCTGATATATAATATATTACAAATGAACTCAAACTTATCAAACTATAATAAAAACTTTTTATCTCTTCTCTTGCTATTTACTTTAAATTATACTAAGTAAATCTTAGTTCTTACTTAAGACAAATTTGTTTTACTTATCAAAATAAATATTTTGATATATAATATACTACAAATAGACCAAACTGATGATTTTATATCACGAAAACTCTAAACTCCTTTGCTAAAAAAATGTACTTTTAGTTCTAAAAATTCATTGACAATTTTCTGAAATCCTATTGGCTTGCCCCAGAAATTTCACTTTTGTATACCCATTAAAATTTTCTAAAATCCAACAAATTCCAAAAATTCACTCACTACATCAGAAAACTTTTTTATAAGATATTAATCGATATATAATACTTTATCAATAAATATCATTTGTAATTTAATGACATATATCAATAAATCTGTTATTACTTGATATATATTTAAAATTGGTAGAATTTGATAATTAGATATGCATCAATATTTATATAAATATTAATTATCAACGAATTTATTTAAATGCTACTATTTGATTAAGCATTATCAATTGATATATAATATACACTTTAAATTAAATGCTGCAGAAATTTTATTCAACCTGATTTTTTTAGCTTTATTTTTCTGACTTTTTTTCTGACTTTTTAAATTTTTTCTGATTTTAATTTTTTTTTCAATCTTAGTTTTACTCAATTTTTTTTTTTTATTCGATCTATTTTTTTTATTCGATCTTTTTTTTTTATTTGATCTTTTTATTTTTATTCAAATTTAACGATTTTAATTTTTTTCGATCTTTAATTTTTTTTTGATCTTAGTTTTATTTGATCTTTTTTTTATTTAATTTTTTTTTACTATATAGTTTTTTTTGTTTTTTTTGATTTAGTCTTTTTTTTATTTGTCTTTTTACTAATATTTTTTTCTTATTTGTAGGTCTTGTGCTTCATTGGCTAGAGGTCAGAACCAATTGTAAATTTTAAGACCTGAATTGGATTTGCGTGTAATATAAAACTGGTTATTATTTAAGTTAAACCTGGTGGGATTCAAACCAAATTATAATCGGGTTACCTTACGTAATATAATATTATATAATTGGTTAAACGACAAGAACTCTGATTGGCCAAAATCATTTATCTTGTTCATGTAAAATTTGATCATTGCTCAGAAGATAGTAATTTGTATTAGTTAATTGTTAATTTATTCTTTAATTCATAAACTTTAACTATCACGCATAAAAGTTTACTTCTATAAAAAGATCGTAAAAAATATTCGATCTTAAGAATTTGTCAAAGATAATACAAAAATTTTGCAGGTTCGATTATAAAAAAGCATAAAATTTTAGATTTCTCCAAATATTTTATTAACAATTATTAATAGCGGCTTTGCAAAAAAAAAAAAAATCAAAAATTATTAGCAAAAGCAATTTGTGCATAATGTTAATAAATTGAAACATATTCATACAATATGTAACAAGCAAGCAGAATGATTGTGCATACAAGATTTGTTTTCATATGAATTATAGTACTATTGTGGCAAAAACATTTCAACATACTTACTATTTCTTTTTAAAAATAGTAACTTACTTACTAGATCTGGTGTTAGCCGTGTTCTTTTTGATGTGATAAGATTATCTGCATCTGAAAATAACCTTTTAGATAGAACTGAAGAGGCTGGTATTGAAAGGTATTTTCTGGCTAGCTATACAAGAATTGGTAATTCAGATTTATGTAATTGCCACCATTTCATCAGATCTTTATCAAGCCCTATACTTTCTAATGCTAAATAACATGTTACTTCATCCAATTCAATTAATTTTAATGCTTGTCGAGGTGTTATTTTTAATTAACTAAAAAATTCATCGTCATCATTAATTTTTGAATTATTGGTTAATTCACCTGAAAATTATTTAAATTTAATAATTCAAGTGCTGTTTTTATTTCACTATAAGACCGTTCAAGTAATCTTCTTGTATGTTCGAATTGATCCGGTGCCTACTGAAAAGTTTTGAACTGTGGGTCAAAGATAGATACGATCAAAGCCAGGTCTGATAGTATAGCCCAAAGCTCATCTAAAGACAAAAAGATGGCAGCATGAACTCTTTGCAATAAACCATAAGGATCAACAGAAGGTAAATATTCAATCGTATTAATATTATCTAAATTATTTGATTGTAATTTTTTTTTTGATTGATATTTTCTTTTAGCCTCTATTTGTTTTTTTTCTTTTACTTTTTACATACATTGACAAAATTGCCTATGAGCATATTGCCAATGTTGGCGAGCTTCACCACTTGGTATATCATTATTGTCACTAAAAGAATCTGAACTATGATCAGTACTACTATTATCATCATCAGATATGCAACTATAAACTAACTCAAGATACAATTTTTTTGTTTCTCCTTGATCTGATCGAGGTGCAAATGATCTTTTAAGTATTTCTATATATAGATAGATTATACTAAATGTGGGATAATTTGCACAGAAATACAACATATAATTTTTTCAAAAGGGGCTAATATATTAATAATATTCCAGAGAAATCTAAAAATAAATTAAATAAATATATTAATAAATTAAACCAGTTTACTAATAATTATTTATTTATTTATATATTGGGTATTTCAAAAGTTTTTGTACACAGTTCTTATTTTTATATATATAGAGATCATAATGATCTTTACTTAAAAATAAAGGATGACTTTTGAAACACCTAATATACATATATCAATTAGGGATGTGAAAAGTTCAGTTCACTTCAGAAGTTGAGTCATAATTTGTACTTGGTCCCAAGCAGACTTGGGACAAAAACTTATTTTGTCATATGTAATATATAAACAAGGTTCAAACTTAGAATCTTGTATTACAGTATTACTTAAATAACCCCAAGTCTGCTTGAAACCGAGTACAAATTATGACTCAACTTCTGGAGTCGAGTTGGACCGAACTGAAATTTTCATATCCCTAGCATCAATAAATTAATTGTCGTAGCTGATGCTGAAAATAGTTGATGCTGAAATTTGAAGTCTTGATTTGAAAAGATAAACCCTGCTAAAATTCACATTTACTCTTTAATTATCAATTCTAGCACTCCAAATTTTAGTATCAGTTGCGATATTAATTATTAAATAATGATTATAATTGCCATTTAAAGTATGATAAAATTTCTCAAAACTTACTGTTTTTCATTCAAAGTAAGACAAAGTTGTTTTAATTTTTCACCTTCTTTTTGTAGCAAACATTCAGGACTTAGAAGTAAGGAATTTGAAACCTGAAACATGCATTATGAAGCTCAAAGACACGTTTCTATGTATAATATGTAGAATTCCAACATGTTCTAGTATTATTCAAAACATCTAATAGATTTATAGTTGCATTTAATTGAGAAGATGAATTAAGTTCATTTTGAGCAATCCGAAGCCTTTCTGCTTGCTTTGGAAGCTTAAAAAAGGTTTGCAAATTTTTTACTCATCGATGAAACCTTTACATTGTTTAAGCCCTCTTGTACAGAAAGTTGTAATGTATGAGCTATGCAGAGTTGTCTAATAACAGAAGAAAAATAATTTTCTAAAAGTAAATTTATTCTATAGATTATATTTGATCCGTTATCTGTTACTATAGTAAAAACAGATTTTTGTAAATTCTGTTTTTGAATAACTTTGTATAATTCTTGGCTAATAATTTCCCCTGAATGTGGATATGACAAGTGTTTATATTTTAAAAGAACTTCATAAAATTCAAAATTAGGGGTTAACCAAGTACCGGTTATTCCAAGATACCTATGTTGCGATTTTGCAGTCTATAAATCTGTCATTAGATATATTGTTTCTATGCCTGTATCTAATATCGATTTTAGCTGATTTTTACTTAGTTGATATGCATTATAAATTATATCTTTTGCTATTTTTATACAAGGAATTTTATATCCTGATACACATGTTATCATCAGTCTTGAAATGATTCATCATCCAAAATATATAATGGTTAAATGAGTTTAACAATAAAAGTAATTAACTTGCGAGTTACAAGCTCCTGTTTTTCTGGCTGACAATAAGGAATATCATCATGTGTTTTAATAAGCTGATTTAATATCTAATGCATACAATATATAATTAATATAACAGGTTAAAATTTTTAATTATAAAAATTAAATTTTTATTACTTCATTGTCAGCATTCAAATATTGCTTATAATTTGCGTTAGTAATGTTATGCTTATCCCATAAATGACCAATTAAATTTGTGGTGTTTTCACTTTTTCTTGTATAAGAATAAGGTTTTTTAGAACTATCAGCGCAAATTTGGCAATAAACTACTTATAAATTATTTTCATCTTCCTGAAAAAAATAATTTGTATAACTTTGATTTGCTTGTGGTTTCTTGCGAACTTTTTTACTTTTTGGTATGGTGTATTATTAGTAGAAGAAGAATCAGAAAGTTTACTATCTAAAGATTCAGAATGCTGCATTGTTTCAGAAATAAGAAAAATCTTGGCTTATTTTTTTTTATTAAAGAAAATTGAAATTGGTACAATTCATCATTATATATTTATTAAAATATAATTTGATCACTATGATATAATACAGTATTGTTCGATAACTACATAATTGAAATATTAAATCTCTTATTATCTAATACTATATAGATATTTAATATTTAATTTTACATCGATTAAATCAGTAAATCAATTTTATGATGAAAATACAATACTTTATAGCAGTGTTGTCAATTCCAATTGACTGAACAAATGAACGATTGTCTATTGGGCTTGTTCATTGTTTATTAAAAGGTAGAGTTAAATGAACAATAAACAAACCTGTGTATATAATTATTCAATAGAATTTTTGAACGATGGAATTCAAGAGTTTCTCTCACAATTGATGCGCAATTAAATTTTCATTGTTAGAGATATTTATACATACTGCGCCACATTAAATAAAAAGACAACCAATGAACATTGTTCATTGATACACTTGTTCATTAAATATTTAATTAACAATATTTATTCACAGTGCTGCTTTATACGTAGTATGCTCAAAATCTAGAAAAGTAAAACCGGATTTAAGTTCTAAAACCGGTTTGTCTGAATATTATAACCAGGTTAAGATATTATAAAACTGATTTAATATTAAATTGGGTTAACCCGAATTTATATCTGAATTTTATTAACCAGTTCTGACCTCTATCATTGGCAAGGGCTAATGAGGACTGGAATTGAGATTTCAAATATGAAACTGGTATAAAGATAAGTACCAGTTTATTTTTTTTTTGTTTTTCTTTTTTTTGCTGTTGTTGCTAACTTTTCTTTCTTTTTTCTAGGTTTTGTATTTTATCAGAAAGTGTTAATAGATACAGGGCTTGAGATCTCTGGTACCAAAATAAGTACTAGTTTATTTTTTTTGCTTTTTTTGCTGTTGTTACTAATATTTTTTTTTGTAGTTCTTGTATTTCACCGAAAAAATTAAAAGGCACCAGGCTTGAGATCTTGAACCTGAAACTTGTATCAAGATAAATACTAGTTCTTTTTTTTGCTTTTTATTTTTTTTGCTGTTGTTACTAATTTTTCTTTCTTTTTGTAGGTCTTGTAAGGATTAATGGGTATGGGCTTGAGATCTTGAACCTGGAACTGGTACCAAGATAAGTACCAGTTTATTTTTTTTTGCTTTTCATTTTTTTGCTATTGTTGCTAATTTTTTTTTCTTTCTTGTAGGTCTTGTACTTCTCCAGAAAGAGTTAATGAGTACTAGGCTTGAGATCTCAAACTTGGAACTGGTATCAAGATAAGTACTAGTTCTTTTTTTTTTGCTTTTTTGTTTTTTTGCTATTGTTACTAATATTTTTTTTTGTAGGTCTTGTACCTTGCCAAAAAGGGTTAATAAGTACTAGGCTTGAGATCTCGAACCTGGAACTAGTACCAAGATAAGTACCAATTCATTTTTTTTGCTTTTTATTTTTTTGCTGTTCACTAGTCGAAATCAAAAATATAAACCA